TTACGTCGACGAATTCCCTGTAACACCAGGCAGAATTACAATTTCCTCTTAATGGTTGACTGGTTGGCTAGGCTCACTTATTACACGATCCTCCCTCTCCTTCCTTCATTGTGTCAATTTCAGGCTTCTTCAGCGTACTGGAGGACTGTCATATTATAGTATACAGTACACAAATAACCCTCACATAGGTATACAATAGTATACAATGTCGACAAAGGAAAAATAAACACATAAGCAGTATAATGTGATCCTTTATTGACAACGTTTCGCCCACACATTGGACTTTATCAAGTCACAAACTGATCTACCTGGGTGAAACGATCTGTTCGTGACTTGATAAAATCCACTGTGTGAGCGAAACGTTACCAGTAAAGGATAATTATACTACTTTTATGTAGATTAATGGTTATGTGCTTATTTTTCCATTGTGTCGGTATTTTATACTATTTATTTCCACAATGCCGATAAGCTGATGAGTTAAAAAAAAAAAATCTGCAAAACTTGTAACAGCAATATGTACGTTTCCACTAGTTTCTATTTTGAGTAGAGGCGAACACTAACAGCCTGACATAGTTGCTAATAGCAGCAATAACTCTGTATTGCTGTGATTAGTAGACGGAGGGTGTGGGAGCGGGCTGCAGGGGAGTACCCACCCTCAGGAGCGGTCTGCAGGGGAGTACCCACCCCCAGGAGCGGGCTGCAGGGGCAGTACCCACCCTCAGGAGCGGTCTGCAGGGGCAGTACCCACCCTCAGGAGCGGTCTGCAGGGGAGTACCCACCCCCAGGAGCGGGCTGCAGGGGCAGTACCCACCCTCAGGAGCGGTCTGCAGGGGCAGTACCCACCCTCAGGAGCGGGGCTGCAGGTGGCAGTACCCACCCTCAGGAGCGGTCTGCAGGGGAGTACCCACCCCCAGGAGCGGGCTGCAGGGGCAGTACCCACCCTCAGGAGCGGGCTGCAGGGGCAGTACCCACCCTCAGGAGCGGGCTGCAGGGGCAGTACCCACCCTCAGGAGCGGCTGCAGGGGCAGTACCCACCCTCAGGAGCGGTCTGCAGGGGCAGTACCCACCCTCAGGAGCGGGCTGCAGGGGCAGTACCCCCCTCAGGAGCGGTCTGCAGGGAGTACCCACCCCCAGGAGCGGGCTGCAGGGGCAGTACCCACCCTCAGGAGCGGGCTGCAGGGGCAGTACCCACCCTCAGGAGCGGGCTGCAGGGGCAGTACCCACCCTCAGGAGCGGGCTGCAGGGGCAGTACCCACCCTCAGGAGCGGTCTGCAGGGGCAGTACCCACCCTCAGGAGCGGGCTGCAGGGGCAGTACCCACCCTCAGGAGCGGTCTGCAGGGGAGTACCCACCCCCAGGAGCGGGCTGCAGGGGCAGTACCCACCCTCAGGAGCGGGCTGCAGGGGCAGTACCCACCCTCAGGAGCGGGCTGCAGGGGCAGTACCCACCCTCAGGAGCGGGCTGCAGGGGCAGTACCCACCCTCAGGAGCGGGCTGCAGGGGCAGTACCCACCCTCAGGAGCGGGCTGCAGGGGCAGTACCCACCCTCAGGAGCGGGCTGCAGGGGCAGTACCCACCCTCAGGAGCGGGCTGCAGGGGCAGTACCCACCCCCAGGAGCGGGCTGCAGGGGCAGTACCCACCCCCAGGAGCGAGCTGCAGGGGCAGTACCTACCCCCAGGAGCGGGCTGCAGGGGCAGTACCCACCCCCAGGAGCGGGCTGCAGGGGCAGTACCCACCCCCAGGAGCGGTCTGCAGGGGCAGTACCCACCCCAAGGAGCGGGCTGCAGGGGAGTACCCACCCTCAGGAGCGGGCTGCAGGGGCAGTACCCACCCCCAGGAGCGGGCTGCAGGTGCAGTACCCACCCCAAGGAGCGGGCTGCAGAGGAGTACCCACCCTCAGGAGCGGGCTGCAGGGGCAGTACCCACCCTCAGGAGCGGGCTGCAGGGGCAGTACCCACCCCAAGGAGCGGGCTGCAGGGGCAGTACCCTCCCCAAGGAGCGGGCTGCAGGGGCAGTACCCACCCCAAGGAGCGGGCTGCAGGGGCAGTACCCACCCCAAGGAGCGGGCTGCAGGGGCAGTACCCACCCCAAGGAGCGGGCTGCAGGGGCAGTACCCACCCCAAGGAGCGGGCTGCAGGGGCAGTACCCACCCTCAGGAGTGGGCTGCAGGGGAGTACCCACCCCAAGGAGCGGGCTGCAGGGGCAGTACCCACCCTCAGGAGCGGGCTGCAGGGGCAGTACCCACCCCCAGGAGCGGGCTGCAGGGGCAGTACCCACCCCAAGGAGCGGGCTGCAGGGGAGTACCCACCCTCAGGAGCGGGCTGCAGGGGCAGTACCCACCCTCAGGAGCGGGCTGCAGGGGCAGTACCCACCCCAAGGAGCGGGCTGCAGGGGCAGTACCCACTCCAAGGAGCGGGCTGCAGGGGCAGTACCCACCCCAAGGAGCGGGCTGCAGGGGCAGTACCCACCCCAAGGAGCGGGCTGCAGGGGCAATACCCACCCCAAGGAGCGAGCTGCAGGGGCAGTACCCACCCCAAGGAGCGGGCTGCAGGGACAGTACCCACCCTCAGGAGCGGGCTGCAGGTTAGTACCCACCCCAAGGAGCGGGCTGCAGGGGCAGTACCCACCCCAAGGAGCGGGCTGCAGGGGCAGTACCCACCCTCAGGAGTGGGCTGCAGGGGCAGTACCCACCCCAAGGAGTGGGCTGCAGGGGCAGTACCCACCCTCAGGAGCGGGCTGCAGGGGAGTACCCACCCCAAGGAGCGGGCTGCAGGGGCAGTACCCACCCCAAGGAGCGGGCTGCAGGGGCAGTACCCACCCTCAGGAGCGGGCTGCAGGGGAGTACCCACCCCCAGGATGACAGGACACAAGTAACTAAATACACTTAAGATATCTTTATGTAATAATGAAGGTGTCCCTTCATCCATATTATCGCCTTTTACTTTCCCAAAAAATGAAGGAACACAGCAGCAGATCTACTGGAAATAAATGGTATAAAATACCGACACAATGGAAATATAAACACAAATGCAGTATAATGTGATCCTTTATTGACAACGTTTCACCCACACAGTGGGCTTTTTCAAGTCACACACGGATCTACCTGGGGTTGGAAGGTACGAGAGTATTTATAGTCAGAATGTTGAGGTCAGGTGGAAAATGCTGCATCTGATGATCTACCGGGTGGGGTTATAGAGTCTTGGGTAGCTTGGCAGGGGTATTGGACAAGTTGTAGACCTTCTGCAGTGTTCTTAAGTGGGATAGCGATGAAGTTTCTTGGCGAGTGGCTCAGCTATGTTATAGAAGCCATTGTTCTGGTTGAAATTGTTGGTTATAGAGATAAGCGATGATTCCAGGATTCTTCTGTATTGAGTGTTGTCTTCTGTGGCTATAAGTCTTGAGTTTCTGTAGTTAATTAAATGATTGTGTGAATTGCGATGTTGTACACAGGCATTCCTTGTATCGTCAGTCCTGCTTGCATATTGGTGTTCTGAAATGCGTGTTTGGAGGTCTCTTGATGTTTCGCCCACATATAATTTGTTGCAGTCATTACAAGGGATTATGTATACCCCTGCAGAGGATGTATACCCCTGCAGGTAGGTGAGGTGCAGCAGTCATAGGTGGTATCACATTTTACAAATCCAAATATGGAAGTAGATCATGCCTAAAGGTTAGGCAAGTGAAGAATTCCCTGTATTAAGATCCCAAGATGTTGCTGTGTCTGACAGGAATGTAGATGAATGGTTCGGAGAACCGAGAAGTTGATAAAGCCACTGGATGACTTTATCAATACAAGTTCTAGGACATAATTTGAAGACAGTAGAACTATATACAAACTTGCATTAATAGATGCTGCACATGTGTCTTAATTTCATCTTGTCGGTATTGTATATCATTCTTGTACTGCCTCTAAGAAGTCGCTAGATTCTAAATTCCCAATAAAGGAATTCCAATCAATCTGACTAAAGTTAAGGTCCCCTAGAATTATTACGTTATCGTCCCTTGTGGCTTTAACAGTTTCCTCCCAAAGTACTCTCCCTTGGTTCCTATCTCAGTTTGGGGGACGGTATATCACGCCTAAAATCAGTTTTTCATGCCCCTCTGAAAATTCAATGCAGACAGACTCTGTATGTGTTATTTCAGACTTTATACCCGTTTTTATGCAACAGTTCAAGCGATCTCGGACCGCAGAGATCTTGCGATCCGCCTGAACGAGCATTGAAATGCCAGTAACAGAGACGATATAAGGTACGCCTGTGTTCTCCACAGAGACTCCACGGGGCATTTGATGAACTGGGATGAGGCACAACTCGTTCTCACCGAACAAGACCTCTAGACACCGACGGTGTCTAGAAGCCTCGCTAATCGCCGTCACCGACACAGTAGAACGTAACACTGGAAAGTACAAAATTTCTAAAACACTAGCAAACATGATGCTCAACCAGGCAAAGCACCACCGACCGAGCAACACAGGAGTCACATGATCTCATCGCCTACCCGTCCTCATCCCAATAAGGCATTCTTCAGGTTACCATGTGTCACTCATACCTCACTCTCCGCCTTATATACTGTCTTTCAACCTCTGTATGTTAGAAGTGATCAAGGTCTGAGGACGGAAACGTTTTCAAATAAATGTCCTAGTGTTTGCTTACATGTTTTTCCATACCATACATGTACAAAAACTATGATATTGTTAGTGTGGCTACATAGTACGCTCTTGTCTAATGTATTACACGGAAAGACTTGAATGAGAGTCGAAGGAAAAAAGCATAATGACGCGAAAGATAAATATATTAAATTTTTAAATCGATTTTTTCAGTGCATGCCTCCATTATTTTCTAGTCAGTTTTCTCCCGTGAGACACTGGCAGGTGGAGATAAGGATTATTATGAAGTCCTCTGACTAGTCTTGTTATCATAGTTATCTTTGTAATCAGCGATGGTGGTCTAAGAGTGATATGTGAGATAATATCAGTCTTTCATTGTATGGTGTAACGGCGGCCATCAGTATCCGTGGAGGCGTTGGTACAAGTGGTCGTCAGCGCTGTTCCCGACCTCATCAGTCGTGCGTAAACCTCTATCCTTAAAAGTGTGCGCTCATTTGAAAGCCCTACTGTTATAAGATAGATTTGTGCGACTGTACGTTACAAAAATCGTTCAGTATGGAGCTGCTGATGTCAGTTATCGTGTGGAAACATGAGTTGGTTATCACCACGCACCGACTAATGATGTCAATTAACTAAATGTTACTTATTTATTTATACTGACTCAGTATTAAAAAATTGAGTGCGAAACTCAAAGAGACTATTTATTAAATTTATAAGCGTACATATAACCCATTAATTTGTAATCTTGTAAAATTCGAACCATATGGACAGGTGTGTCGTGGCACGTTCGAGACTGCGCATAATATTTACGAAAACAAAATATATATATATATATATATATAACTATATCTTCATTAGGCTTGACATTCATCATTTAAGATTAGTGATAAGTGTATAGAATTTTATTAAGGCGGGTGATTTGGGGGAGAGGGAGAAAAAGAAATATAAGAGTGGAATTGGTAGGTAATGAACGCGCGAGTGATTTGAACAGAGGAGTATGGCGGAGATGGAGCCTCCCAAGTTTTACACTGGAATACCCACACTCAAGCTCTATACCGGACCCAACGTCTACAGAAGCCCTCGCTTACCCTTCCTACCCCCCTGTATGTACTTGAGAGTCACTCAAGCTGTTCCTTAAGAGTTATGGGAATGTTATTTTAGCTTGTAGTTGAGTGGATTTTTGTTTTTCTGTTCACCAGTCATTTTGTTATTTTTTTCATTGTGTTAAGATTTTTAAATGTGCTAGGGGGAAGCCCTAGGGGAGACGACAGGGATGAGTTAGGGTAGAAAGCAGGGATGATCACAGGGGTGAGGGGAGGGGGAAGCAGCCCCAGAAGTTCCTCACATGGCAGTGGTTGAATGGCTTCACACAATGTTTAAAAACTGGTGTTAGGAGGGCAGCGCCATCACTTAGTGCCCTGCCTTCCTCTTGCCCACTGGCTGCCTTCCTCACACACCTCGTCGCAGCTCTTGTTCCACGCTACCGTTAATTGTGAGTCTTCTGCTGTATCCAGTCATCAGAGAAGGACAGTGGTGTGTGCTTAGTTCAGGGGCATCAGGGAATGATGGTGTGTGGCTCAGGGGCATCAGGGAATGATGGTGTGTGTTTCAGGGGCATCAGGGAATGATGGTGTGTGTTTCAGGGGCATCGGGGAATGATGGTGTGTGTTTCAGGGGCATCGGGGAATAATGGTGTGTGGTTCAGGGACATCAGGGAATAATAATGTGTGGTTCAGGGGCATCAGGGAATAATGGTGTGTGGTTCAGGGGCATCAGGGAATGATGGTGTGTGGTTCAGGGGCATCAGGGAATGATGGTGTGTGGTTCAGGGGCATCAGGGAATGGTGTGTGGTTCAGGGGCATCAGGGAATAATGTGATTCAGGGGCATCAGGGAATGATGGTGTGTGGTTCAGGGGCATCAGGGAATGATGGTGTGTGGTTCAGGGGCATCAGGAATGATGGTGTGTGGTTCAGGGGCATCAGGGAATGATGGTGTGTGGTTCAGGGGCATCAGGGAATGATGGTGTGTGGTTCAGGGGCATCAGGAAATGATGGTGTGTGGTTCAGGGGCATCAGGGAATGATGGTGTGTGGTTCAGGGGCATCAGGGAATGGTAATGTGTTCTTGATTTAGGGTCATCAGGGGACTTTGGTATTGTGCAGTTTGTTTGAGGGATAGTAGCGTTGTGCGGTTAGTTCAGGGTTATCAGTGGATAGCAAGTGTTGTGTGGTTGGTTCAGGGGATAGCAGTGTTGTGTGGTTGGTTCAGGGGATAGCAGTGTTGTGTGGTTGGTTCAGGGGATAACAGTGTTGTGTGGTTGGTTCAGGGATAGCAGTGTTGTGTGGTTGGTTCAGGGGATAGCAGTGTTGTGTGGCTGGTTCAGGGGATAGCAGTGTTGTGTGGGTTGGTTCAGGGGATAGCAGTGTTGTGTGGTTCGTTCAGGGGATAGCAGTGTTGTGTGGCTGGTTCAGGGGATAGCAGTGTTGTGTGGTTGGTTTAGGGTCATCAGAGATAGTTGTATTGTGCCGTTGGTTCAAGGTTATCAGTGGAAGGGGTTGTGTTGCTAGTTCAGGGTCACTGGGAAATGACAATGTTTGGTTGGTTAAGGGTCATTAAAGGAAGGTGTTATTGTAGCTGATTCAGTTGGATGATTAGTTCAGGGTCAGGGAACCTGAATCCAAAGTTAACCTGGAGAAGGTTATTTGGGGCCAACATCCTTGCAGTCTAGTTCAAGACCAAGCCTCCTGGTGGATGGCCTGATGAACCAGGCTGTTAGTACTTTCCGCATACTCGTATGTATGCACCACAGCCTTAGGCACTTATGTAGTTAAGCTATTCAACAAAAGTTGATCCAAGATGATGAAGGGATAGGGTAAGTGTGTTGTGGTGGATCCAGTGTCATCATGGGACTGTGTATTATGTTGTGATGGATCAGTGGTCATGATGAGACAGTATTGTATGTTGTAATTGGTCCAGGATCATCATGGGACAGTACTGTATAGTACTGGGTATATTGTCGTGGGATAAAGTGTATTGGGGTTGGTTCAAGGTTATCATGGGACAATAAAAGTGCATTGTGGTTAGTTCAGGCTTCTCACTGATTTGGACTTGTGTCCTCTTAGTATTTTCCATGTATGTGTTGTGATGCTTCTTTTTCACCCACATTCTAGTGAGCATACAGTTTAAGGGATTTTTGGTGTTTGAATTTATACAGGTAGTGAAAGTTCTCTACAGTCTCTGGATCTAAGCATGTACAAATAGGTACTGTAATGTGTGGGGCTCGCTCACGTGTAGCTTACGGAGGGTCGAGCTTCTACCACTCCTTGTGCTGAGTGTAACAATATACAATTAATCTAGATATGCATTTTTGCCTGCCTTAAAGCTGGTTTGTTAGTGTATGGTTGTATTCCAGTCTGGAGTATATAGTACAGGAAATTTAGAGTTCAGTTGTACTGTATAATTATTGGCTTCGATTCTTGTATTTGTGTTATTGCACTTTTGACAGTAACTGTTGTCCTTGAACATAAGATCTTTCTACATTGTTACTCCTAAGTTCCATTTGTGTTATTGTGTGTGTGTGTGTTTTATACTTTTGTAGATTTTATTTCTTTAGCTGTCTGCTTTGTAGAACTCTTTTGTCAAACATGTGAAAATATGAAATTAAATTGAATTCTCTTTAATTGTTTGTAAAATAATGGGGCATTTTTGAAGTTCAGTATGTCACAAGACTACTGTAAAGTATTTAGATGGACCTGTATTTTGGAACATTGAAAATAAGCTTAAAATGTTGCTGAGCATCTTGGTATAATTGTTTTCCATATTTTGATGGCAAGCAATTTTTTATAGTATTTAAATTTTTGGAAAAGTTGCAATCAAAAAAACTCAACCCCACAGTCAGTAATTATTTTAGAAATAATTTTTAGAAGTTAGGGACATCCTTATGTTAATCTAGCCTGGCTTTTTTTGTACCATTTTTAACATGTTTTGGGATTTGAATTGCGGTACACACAGACTTCTTGTTTTAAAAACTTCATGTCTACTTACTGGACATCAGTTTTAGTCTGAGGCGAGCCGACCAAGCTGACACACCCAAAAGGGCAATCCCCATGATCTCAAAAAGAGGCACAATCGAAATGGAAGATGTTAGTTTAGAAGAGTTTTTTTTTAATTAATTTTCCTAACGTATATTTTTTTTATCTTTCGCCGGAAGTTTGGTTTGGTAAAGGGTGACCTAAATAAGATGGATGGTGTTTGGGAAATAAAACACATGAAGGGATCCCTGGGATCACGGGTGGGAAAACAGGGGTCCTCCCCTTCAGTTTGTCGGTTCTCTTTGAAATACAGGAATAAAATTCCAGTTCCTACACGCCCCTTTTCCAGTGTTTGGCAAAAAAAAAAAAGGCTTGTGCTACCTAAAGCTTCACCTTTATTTTTAGAATATCTAATTTTTTTTGCTTCTTTGCAAAGGCTTATTTTTTTAGTTTAAATGTAAAATGCAAGATTTGCTTTTCTTTTCACGATATTATTTTTGTGAACACTGGACTGAATTCAGGATTTGGTAATAAGGGAAAATTTTTAATTTTGGGAGCTGTATTGTACAAACGGGTAAATTATTTCTCCAATTTTTTTTATTACTTTTTTATACATAACAGATCCCCCCCAAAACAAGATGTTCGTGGGGGCCTTTTTTGGCAAAAAACCCCCTGAGAAATTGGGGGAATATTTTGGCCCCTATGCACTTGAGAGACGTTCTCATCAAAAAAGATCCTTAACACAGGTGGGGCATTTAATATTGACCATTTTTTATCTCAATAGAAAATAAATTCAACTAATTGTTTGTGTAAAAAGGGTAATTCTCAATTTGAACTTCCAAATGTTAGCAAAAAAGAGAAAAGTTTTCTCAACTAAAAATATCTTGGTGTACATTCCCTTTCCTCACAAAATGATGGACCAAGTTTTGAGTGTTGGGATTTGATTATATTGACAAATTTTTTTTTTTTTATTTAATTTATTTTTTTTAATTATTTATTTATTATTATTATTATAAGGGCAGGTAAGTTAGATGTGTTAATTGCATGTACTGTACTGTATATTGCGAGGTTTCCGTACTTAGTTTTTAGAAAAAAAATTTGTTTGAACTGGAAAAAGAGTTACAGTTATAATTTTCACTAAATCTGTCCGTTCTGCCTATTTGTTGGAAAAGAAAAGTTTATTCATAACTACAGTGGAACAAAATTCCTGGTTTGTTAGGTAAGACACAGCAACAGTTAGGTATCTTTATTTTTGAAAAATTTTTGAAATAAAAAACCTAATGTTCATATGTTCTTTCCAACAAACCTTCATTTTATCCTTTTAATGTTCGTTCCGGTTTTGCTTATGGGGGATTTAATAATAAAAAATTAAAATAATAAATAATTATGACGCTTGAAGAAAGTGGATCCGTTCATGGTTTTGGACACGAACACAGAAAAAATCTTGTGTTTGCAAAATTTTGTGTACTAAACTGTTCTGTGTTTTACAAATTTTTTTAATTTTATGTTCTGTGTTGCTGCTCATGGGGCCCTAAGCTACTGCAGTTCCATTATTTTGGTTTGGATAAAAACTAAAAAAACAAAACCTTTTTAAAAAAAGTTTTTATGGAAATAAAAAGAAATAGCAAAATGGCCCTTTCCCAACCTTCAAATTGTAGCACGTTTTTTTAATCATGGTTTATTATTAATTAAAATTTTTTTTGAAATGACAAATTAAGAAAATGTGGGTTTGGATTAATTTATAAAAAATTCTTTGGGGAAATTTTTTGGAGATGGGGGAAATTTAAAATGGTGAGCTGTTAAATGATTTATATGCTCCCTCAAAAAAACAAAATAACAAAGCTGATTTCACCCCGAAGGAAAAGTTTTTTTATGGGTGTCAGGGGTTATATTGGAAAAGTAATACTGTAGTGATTGCAATTTGGAGTTTAATTTTATATTAAAATTGGGAACAAATTAAAATTTAATAAAAATGTTTTGCTCGGGTTGGAGCAAATAGAGCCGTTTATAACAAATGGTTTTAAATTTGTGGAGACTGATTCATTCCCCTTTAAATGAGAGCGGGATTGATGAGTGCTATTTTTAAAAATCATTCTAGTACTGATAAACTTATTTTACATTGAAAAATATATAAAAAAATAGAAGGGGGTGAGAAATACGGAGAAAGAAGCCATATTTAGCCTTGGGAAGGGGGCTGTGAAACTAGTAAAGCTGGAGCCCTGGGGAGCCTTGAACAAATCCCTTAGGGCCCAGGAATTGTGGGGCTAACGGCAGAAACCAGTTATGGAGCACTCTGCAGTATCATTTCCCACATTTTAGGGTTTCTGATTCTGCACACTTTGAATGTAGTAAATTTAAAAGTTTATATATAGAAATTTTGGTGAAACAAAATTTAAAACTTATAACTTATTTTTAACTCCAGATAAAACTTTGATGGAAGTCTGAGATTGGAGAAGCAGAGAAGTGGGTGAGAGGTGAGATCTTAGTTTGAATTCGGCATTGCTGCCATTGGTCAATGTTGATTTTTTCCTTTGTCGCACAGTGTCACATATTGCTGTATTGGAAGTGGTGTTTTTACGTTGGGCAGTCTTGTGGTGTATTTAAAGAGGGTTGATTATGTGTAGAAGGTGCAACCTAAATATATATGTACAGTATATAAATATCTATATGCATATGCATAGATATACTTAATGTGTAATGCAACAATATAAGTTAAGATTACCTGTTTGTGGTCAGATGTTCATAATCCTCAATTGCTAAATTGTATTTATATATAGACCCATTTAGTTGTTTTAGCTGATACAGTACATTCATACCTAACTTGTACTGCTGCAGCTATAGCAGCTAGAGCATGTTAAGGCAGTTGTTGGGTGTAATAATCTGATCATCAAACACACACAAGTGTTGTAGATAATTAATAGATAATCTTTTAGCCAGATAGTAGCATTTACAGTTGCTGAGATGTTTTATTTGTTTTGAAGTACTGCTGGTTATGGATATGCTACAGTTGGCTCATGTTAGGCCATTATGACATGTAAGCCTTGATCCATCTGTGGTATATGATCACGTTTGGTACCAGTAGCATTGATGGGAATAACAAGCAATTAATGCATTTAGTTTTGGTGTAATCTGGAGAAGTAGCAACAAGAGTTTTAGTAATTCAATTTTTTTATACATAAATAGCTCTTAATTATGTGTAACATGGGTAATAATTTAGGCTCGAACAAATGTTCTTGATCTTGTGTAATGAGTCAGCTTCCCCTTTCATATGTACATTTGGAATGCACACCTATCTTTTTCCTAGAATTAATATTTTTTTCTTTTGATTTTAATATGAAGAAAATTAATTTCCTTGAAGAATGTCAAATACTGTTTTAAAAAGTCAACTTTCTTATATAAATAGTATCTCATTTCTCAAATTGGCACATCTTGCAGAGGAGTCGAGGTTTTGGGTTTATCACATTTGGAGATGCTAGCAGTGTTGAGAAGGTTATTGCTGTCCCCAACCATGTACTTGATGGCAAGAAGATTGACCCCAAACATGCCACACCTAAGAATAAAGGACGTACTAACCGCACCAAAAAAATCTTTGTGGGTGGTGTCAGTCAAGAGACCAGTGCTGATGAGGTGAAAGCTTACTTTTCATCTTTTGGCAAGGTTTGTATTATTATTAATATTTTTGCTGTGAAAGATAATGTGACTTGTTATTGATAGATTTTGTAACTGGTTATAGTAGATTTTGTGACTGGATGTGATTGATTTTGTGACTGATATAGATTGACCCTTGATGGCATTTAAAAAATTGTGACAGGTGATGGTGATTTGAATGCTTGTGACTGGTGGTGATTTGAATGCTTGTGACTGGTGGTGATTAGTGTACTTGTGACTAGTGGTGGAGATTAGCATACTTGTGACTGGTGGTGGTGATTAGCATACTTGTGACTGGTAGAGATTAGCATACTTGTGATGGGTGGTGGTGATTAGCATACTTGTGACTGGTGATGGTGATTAGCATACTTGTGATTGGTGGTGGTTATTAGCATACTTGAGAATAGTGGTGATTTGTGACTTGATTAGTATGCTTGATGGTGATTAGCAAACTTGACTAGTAATGGTGATTAGAATATTTGTAGTGATGGTTAGAATACATGTGAATGGTGGTGATTGGAATTTTAGTGACTGGGAGATTTTTTTAACAAAGGAAAATTAGATATAAGAAGTTTCTGAAGAAATATATTTTCAGGAAAATGGTAACATTTGAGAATAAATTCACTAAATGTATACTGGGTACTTATATTTATGAATCAAGAGTAATGGTTTGTAAATTCTAATTATTAATCACTTGGAAAATTTATATTCACCTTTTAATACCATTGGACAAGCTTTTTTGCCCTTTCTCCCTCTTCTTTTCTAAGTTATTCTACCCTGATTCTGGATGCTGTAGTATTTGTTTAATTTGTCATGTCATTGTTTTATATAATTGGAGATATTTTTTAATGTTTGTAACTGCCTATTTTAATAAACTGTTACATATTAGGAGAAATATTGTTCATAAGCTGAAAGGTTGAGGCAGTTGCAAGCATTCCATCATCACTTGGTTATACATGTGGATTAGACATTTGTGATTTTTATATTTACAGTGTAAGCAGAACTTATTTTTTTGACTCTTAAAATATATTTCATTTGTCTACTTGTAGGTTGAGGAAGCAGTGATGCTTATGGATAATCAGACCAAGCGACATCGTGGATTTGGGTTTGTCACTTTTGAGTGTGAAGATGTAGTTGAGCGTGTGTGTGACATTCACTTCCATACTATCAAGAACAAGAAGGTTGAGTGCAAGAAAGCCCAGCCTAAAGAGGCAGTACAGGCAGCCTCTCTACTTTCAAAGAGGCTATAGGGGTCAGACTGGCTTGCCCAAACCCCATAGTA